AAGCTCTCAGAGGATAACATCTCGTTTTAGAAATATCCCGATATATCCGCATGAGTGAAATTTCGTCTTCCCCCCTGCCCCTCTCTCTTTCTCTCTAATTCTCTCTCGACGCGTATGCTCGTAGATGAAAGCGGATCACCGCGATAAATAAAAGAAATAGAGAGAGAGAGAGAGAGAGAGAGAGAGAGAGAGAGAGTCTACTTTAAAAATAAAACTGTCATGCATTCCGAGTGAACCGGCAGGTATCTCTAGGCACCGACTGCGATGCCTCACTTTCCGGTACGCGATAGCCACTCCCGCGAAAATAACTCTCCTCCGCATTCCCGAATATATCTTTCCCACGTGCAATCTTTAAGAGTTCCCATTACTGCACAGGGCACAATCCTCCTCGTTGTGTATCGCCTCGCTCCCCCCGCGGCAGTTTCCCCGCGCTGCCCGCGTGTCGGAGTTCATAGGGGTGCCGGCAACGCTCCAGCACAGCGCGTTCCTCTCTCTCTCTCTCTCTCTCTCTTTCTCTCTCCTTCGTCTCCGGGGTATTTTATCGTGTCTCTTGTAATAAGGTTTCCGCGTGTAAGAAACCACCGAGGTGTTTCGCGATATAGGTGCTCGAGGAGCCGTACAGAAAGAGACAAAGGAGCCTCGGCGTGCGGGAGGATGACGGGTCTTGGCGAGCCGCAGAGCGGCCGTGGCGGAGGGGCGGCCGTGGTACGGCGAGGAGGAGACGGTACGACACGATGCGGGACGCGGTTGCGGGAGAAAGCGGCACTACCGGCAGCCGGAGAATCCAATCGCAATAGAGTTAAGTGTTCGAGAGTAAAACCTCGCCGAGGCACGACCTCGATTACTTGCGGAGGATTTGTTACGGCCACCTTTTCTGCTACTTTCTAGCGGCGACGGCCAACCTCCTCGCCGCTCTTCTCCGGCACCGTGCAATCGTCCCGGGCTCCTTCTTTGTCCTCGACCCTCCTGAAAGGCGAGCAGTACACCGAACGTAACGTTAAAGAGAGTAAAAGAACGCTTTGCCACCCCCGCCTACGCCCTCTCCCTCTCCCTCCCTCCCTCCCTCTCTCTCTCTCTCTCTCTCTCTCTCTCTCTCTCTCTCTCTCTCTGTCTCCGTTTCTCTTTCCTTCTTTCCTTCCACCCCTCATCGAATCTCGCGCGTCCGCGTCCACCCCGAGCCACTCGGGCGTTTTTCCGCCATCAAACACGAGAGACTTCCGATTGGCTGAGTTTAGTCGGTCACCAATTCCCAACGCCGTCGTCGGATTACCTGTCGTAAAACACAAATTTTTTTTCATCCGCCTTCTTCTCGTTGTGTCGCGCCGCGCAACAATGCAGTACACTTTAATCGACGCTCCTTCTCCCTCCTCTCTCTCTCTCTCTCTCTCTCTCTCTCTCTCTCTCTCTCTCCCTTCCCCTCTTTCGCTTTGGAAATTGATCGCTACCGTCCACTCGCGGCGACAGCGGAAATTTTTCTTCCGTTGTGACGAAAAGATCGAGAACAGGCCGATACGGCCTGATAAGAAATGCTCAAATAATTATCTCCAGGGAATTCGTTGCATCATATCATCATCTGATCATCACGGCGATAACGACGATATGAATGTTGAAATTTGCCCCTTCGTTCTCAAGTAAATCTCACCTGTTCGTTGATCGTTCGCGGATACCGCCGAGTGTCGAATAAAAAAAAATTTGTGTTTTTACGACAGGTAATCCGACGACGGCGTTGGGAATCGGTGACCGACTAAACTCAGCCAATAAAGTCCGCGAGGCGATTAAACGCCGGTCGATCTTTTCGAAGCTTTTACCGCGAATATATACCGCAAGTCAGATATGCAGACGTTACGAAGTATCAATTTACGACGCAAGATGCTGGACGCGCTATTATCAGCTGACTTTATCAGCGAGATTTCATCGCACACATGCACGCGCTACGAATTAACTGCGCACTGCGAAGCACTGCGTAAGACACTCGCGAGATTCGCCTTCAACGTCATACTTCGCGTGGCGTCTTGCAATTCTATTGAGATACAGAAAATGCAGCTCCGTGCGCACACGATTCACTCGCATCGTACATCGCGCGTACACAGCAACGTACGCGGCAACGGCCGGTGTATTGAGATCGCCCGTGGGATTCTCGCCGGCGGCGAGCCGCCTTAATGCAATTCCGAACACATTCTCTTAGTTGGTTCTTCTTGTTTCGCCGTGAAAATCCTCGAGGCCGTTACGTCGGTAACGATAGGACCGGCACCGGCAGGCTGTTACCGCCACATGCCGCCATAATATCGGGCAAAAGTTTCCTTGGCCAGTAGGAGAAAATAATTTGATATGACTCGTCGTTGCAAGCCCGCGCGCAGGTGGAACTTCGGAGAAAACGGGGATCTTCCGAAGTACAATTATGAAGCCGATGTTACCGCCGCTGCCAATTAAACGTAGCGCAACGCGCGATACAGAAGGCCGCGAAGTTTCCCTCGGTCTTCTTCCCTCCCTCCCTCCCTCTCTTCTCTTTACTCTTCTCTTTACTCGGAGCTCGAAGTAAATAAAATCCATCTTCACTCGGCGAGAAAGTTGATCTTTACATTACCAATCATAATTTTTAGCGATCTCTCAAGAAACTGCTGAGAGGAAAAAGAGCTGAATTTTTCATTATTAATTGCCTGTAATGGAACGAAATGGAATTGCGGGAGTTTGAGCGCTCGAAAGCCGCGAAGGTGTCCGCCGCAGCGGGGCAGGAATCGAGTAATCAGCCAGTTGTTTCGCGAAAAAATGTTTCTTCTTTACTTTCCTTCCTTCGATGACTAATGACAACGGGCCGAGGGGCAATTAAGCATCGCATGGGATACGAGGTGATTAGAGACGCACGAGGAAGAAAAAACAAAAGAAATTTGCTACGCAGATAGAACAGAAACTGCGCTTATTTATCAGAAATTAAATCGATAATCACGATAATGATATCGGACGTTTTATTTAATTCATCGCTAAGTACTTTAACGATAAGTCGTAAAGATAATAGCGCACTTGGTACGGTATCACCAAAGGTGATTGCGATTGACAAATGATACGCGAAATTTCCACCTGCATTCAGAATGCGTGTAAAAAATCGCAACAAATTTCGCCAATCGATTACGGCATCGCGACATAGCGGCGGCAATGTAAAATGCATAAAATTTACATCGCAAGTTCGTGCGAGCTCTGCTTCATCTCCCTTTCCGTATCTCGTCACTTCTCTCGTACCTTTCATCCTTTCATCAGTGCGAGTTTCTATATCCTGCACGTGTAATGAGCAGAATGAGTAATATTGCAGAAAAATGTAGTAGAAGAGACATGAAATTACGTTAAATCTTTTGCGAAAGCCACATTCTAAAGAGCGGGACGCAAAAAAAGCTATAGGTCGCGCTCCGTATTGAGCGGAAAAGTTAAGAGATCGCGAAGACGATTTCTTCCCTGCGCTCTCTCGCGCGTGCCTCCTTCTCCTTCGTTCGTCCTCCTTTCTCTCTCCCTCTCATCCTCGTGTAACCTCCTCCTTCTGCCTTTTCAGACGCTCGTTTAAGCGTCCGGTCTTCCTTTATTTCCCTTCTGGAAGATACTCTCTCTCTCTCTCTCTCTCTCTCTCTCTCTTTCTCGCTCGTTTCGCTCTCTCCGTCTCACTTATTCTTCTCACGACTTCCCATTACGACGCGCCAATGGTGAGTTCCGAGGCTTATTAAATTGTAACAATTTTAATTAGAGAAGCAGCCTCCCTCTCTCTCTCTCTCTCTCTCTCTCTATCGCACTACGCTCTCTCTCCAGCTTTTGAACTCTCATCCCCGTTTGCTTCGGTAGCTTTGCTTCCTTCGTGCCTCTGTACGTATTCACCTAGCTATTCCGCAGTCGAAGATGTTCTTTCCGGATCCCAGCTCCGGTTCCGACTCGGGAAGCCGCCGGCTGCCGAGCCGGCCACCCTTTACCTTCCTCTTAAATGTTATCGTCAACTGCGCGTCTAACATCGTCGTCTTTTCTTATTCATCAAATGGATACGCAAGTGCTCGGGGTCATTCACACGGGCCAGTACACGTGGTCCGTGTTTTCTTCTTATGATCGGCCGAACTTTCAGTGCGCTAACGAAGATGCAGCGGCGATGCTCAAGCTCACTCCGTTCAACGCGCCAATCCATCTTGGAAAGTTACCTTCTCGCCGCGGGAAACGAGATTTTGTTGATGCATCGGGAAACGTTATTATCTGCGAGTATAACGTGGACATGATGATACGATTTGAGATTGTTGACTTTGAATCGACTTCGTGTGGATTCAAACAGATATTCAAAGCGGATCAATGCAGAGCATCGATGTCTCTTTTCGCAAAACTTCATCGACGAACATCTCCTCGGACATTCTAGTCACAAAAGTATAATGTAGGAATTGATCGATCACTCGCTCGTATCTCTGGAATTATCGGGAATTCTTTCGCTTTATTCTTTTATTATTAAATTTCTTTTATTCCCGTTACGTATACATCAGGAGAGATCAGATGTGGGAACACTTAAATTTGAGCACAGCAAATTTGTTCTTTTCAAACACGATATATATATTTTATATATATCCTAAACATCCTATACTTTTTGCGGCATCTAAAAGTGGCATTAACGCGACGCAAACATTATATATAGCGATTCTGATTGATCACCCGATCCATCTGTAATATCGTTAGCTATTACTCATCTCTCAAACGTTTCCTTTTATCATTTTAATTTGCGACATTTTCGATGAAATAGCGCGCAAATCAATAAGAGTAGAGCAATATCGAAACGGTGCCGAGCGGTTTCCCCGCGATTTACCGGCGATGAATTGCGCGCTGAACATTAATCGCAATTCCCCCTGAAACACCGAGCTTCGCCGAGTGCTCTTAATATCAATTGCGCAATAATTAATTCGCGCTATTATCAATAATCGTCAAATGCCTACGGATGGATTAAGGACACGAAAAAATAGGACCTCGACTTCTTCTCGCGATTTTTTACATAATTGCAATAATCATCCGCGTATTTTGACGTGAAATCGAACACTCGTGTTATCTACATCTAATCTTATCATTATCGATTGGACAAACAACGGTCAATTTTCAGTATATATAAGAAAACGAAAGCAATAGCCGTCACTACTTGGTCTGGAGTAGCACGACAACCCAGCAACCACCGCTCCAAACGTGAGTACCACGATGGGACCTGTTTTAGCAGGCCCTAGAGAGAGAGAGAGAGAGAGAAAGTGTCAAAATATTAATTGTAGATTATATCTAGCAAGTAACAGAGCAGACGCGAGCAATATAATAAAAGATTCGTTTCTCATTTGCTTCAACAAAAAATGAAACTGTTATTTCAAGTCTCTCGAAACTATCCTCTTTTGTGATAATTATAGGTTGAATCGTACAATCGAGGGACGGGATTTGAAAGAGTGGCTAAACTTTACAAACATTTTATCGGAAAAATTATTGCTTTATATTATAATCGGTTCAAATATCAATTTGTAACCATTCTACAATCAATAAAATTACTTCATTACATTATTTAGCCTCGTTTAAGCTATCTGAAATGTGAATTCCGCGCGCTAAAAGAGAGATGTTATTTCTCAATTTCAGTGTTTATTCTCCTTGATCAGTGCGAAATAACAGATTTTCGGGGCTCGCTTCATCGATTATTTAATTATTAAAACAACAATTTATTTGTGTTTTAAATAGAGCAATATGTTGCGATACATTTCAATTAGTAATATATCATAAAAATCGAGTGATATTCAATGTTTCGTGAAAAGTCATGCGGAAGCCGATTGACCAATGTTTAACCAATGTTCAACATCCGCCAATGCTTACATTACAAGTGCTCTGTTAAATATTTGCTTTTAAGAAATATACGCGAAAATCCAACTTGGTCGGCGAAAACAGTTTAATGTACGATTTCATGTTTAATGTACGATGATCAACTCGTCGAATTGAAAGATCACTGTCCGCACAACATGACAGCGCTACAAAATATAGATCTAAACGACGTATCTCGATAAACTAAACGAAATTCTTATTTTCACAGATGAAATTCGCACTGGCACTATTGGCCCTCGTGGCTACGGCTTCAGCCAAGATCGAAATCCCGAACTTCGGTCGAGGCGAGCTCCATAAGGACATCCAAGAATTCCTGGACCTCATGCCAGTCGACGAAATCGTCGCGATTACTCTTAAATACCTGTCCGAAGACGCAGAGTTCCAGCAAATCGTCGAGTACTTGCAAGGCAAGGAATTCAAAGACCTCGTGAGTACGGTCGAGGCTCTGCCGGAAATCAAGAAACTGATGGACTACATACATCATGCCGGCATCGACATCTACTTGATGATAAACAAACTGAACGACAGGCTCGGACTCCCTCATCTCGTTCCGCCCAAGGACCTCGTGCTCAGGAACTACGCAACCGGTGGACTCCGCGGATACCTCGATGAGATCGAGGCAATCTTACCCATTGAGAAAATCAAGGCACTCTACGAGAAGAAATTGAAAGAATCCAAGGCTTTTAAAGATTTTGTAGACCAACTCAAATCCAAAAACTTCCAAGAGATCGTCAATAAGGTCTATGCTAACCCCACTGTCCAGAAAATTTTGAAAGATCTCAAGGCACGCGGTGTCGATCTTAAGCTCATCAGAGAGCTGTTGCGGCTGATCCTCGGCATCGTAATCCCTGTGCCCCCCCGCTTTTGAACGAATACTTACGGCGTCGTGAAGCATGAGACTCCTTCTTATTACCGGACCCATCAATGGCATTTTTTACTCCAAAACCTGTCTCCTCGTAAACATCACACTCGGCTACGTAATTCTGTACTTCACACCTGATTAAAGTAATAAATATCAATCTTACTGCTGTGCATATTGTGGCACATTACTTTCTTTCCATCGGATCTCCTTTCCTTTGTTCCATATTCTACCTAAGAGAAATATTAACACGAAAATCTAGATGTCAATCGTCATTCGATTATGTTCGAGTTTTACCTCGTTTACAAAACGAATTACTAATAAATTAATTATCTCGAGAATTATAGTTATAATGCCCGTCACACATTATTTTTAATAAATAGCAAACAAATGTTAAAATAAATCTACCTGTGACGCTAAAAGTATTTAACCGTTTTAAACGTAACGCAAGTTTTCACGATGGTTTAAAATATACAAATTTGAAAACTACGCAAATAATGTTTCATTTCTCTAGTACGGCGTCTAACATTTTATATTTGTTCATAAATGATGTGGAATATCTATAAATAATATAAGATAAATACATATAACTTTGCGTTATGTATTTCCGTACAGTAAGATTTCGAGGTCCGATGATTTGTATTCATCTACAAATATCAAGTATATATATTACAAAAGAATAAATTTACACGTATTTTATCAAGTATGTTGATTTTTATTGCATTCCTATACAGTTCGAGATAACTAAAAATTCAAAAGAACATATTATCAATACTCCAATACTTTTTTATGAAATAAAATATTCCTTTTAAAATAAAGTGCGTGTTTATTATTACTAACCATTTTCATTTATCCCTACTATTCAAACGTGAAGAAAATTTATGCTTAAAAGATTTATAAATTCGAGTTGAATCAATTAAATGACGCAGTTAGCCACGTATTCTTTTTTTACTAAGAATCTGCGAATACTTAATTTTCAATCTCATGTAATATTTTATTTTAAATTTATTCAATATAGCAACAGCAATCTGTAATACGCTTGTATTTTCTGTCAGAAATAAGTACATAAGTTAAAGTTTATGTCAGAATATGTATCTGTAAAATTTGTAGATATTAATATGCAATATATATATATATATATGCAATATATATAAAATACTATATATAATTGACACTATATCCACCTGATTTGACACCTACTAGTAGCTAACCATTTGTTTTGATACAATGTCTAGAGAACCCTAAGATCGATAACTTGACATTAATTGTTGATATCTCGATCATCTTTCGTTGAACATGATCGTCTGCAAGATGCTAACTCTTTCTGATTTATTTGATATTTTTGATATCTTGATATCTTGATATCTTGAAAATAACAATAAAAGATAAGTATTTTATTCGTTTGCGCACTGCAATCACAGATCGGAGATTTCATGAAACAACACATTTTTATTCAAGGGGACATCCTACTTTCTCGGCTGAAAATTTTGCTGATTTTCAGGGACTTTTTTTATAACAAAATGAGGACATATTGAGTTGAAACTTTTTTTTTACTATATTTGCGAGTCTTAATTTATATAAAAAAAATTTTTTTAAATCTTTTTTCCAATTTTTTCATAAAAATATTTACAATTTGCAATAGCGCTTCCAAAAACTGATGGCTCGCTGGCGGACGCGATTGCAGTCGACTGGATTATTTAAGACAAAAAAATTAATATATTTTTAATTTTTATATGAAATTGTCTCGTATGACGCTTGGAAAAAAAATACCGAGTGAAAGTTTTTTTTAATGAAGGACTTTTAAAGTTAAGGATCCGAAAAATAGCACTTTCTTAAAATGTAATTGTTGTAGAAAAATAGGAAAATATCAATTAATTAACAAGCCCGAGGTTCATACAATAGCCACTAATGTATAGAATAACATATTAAAAGTTTGGCCCGATTGATCAAGTAGATTTTTTGTAATCGTGTCCGCCGCATAAAGAAAAAAGTGATTTTAAGAAAAACGCGTTTAAAGTTTTGCGTCACGAATTTTTATACGTAAAAGCTATTTACTTTCAATCAACTATGCCTGCTGCATACAAAATGCCTTCAGCTTCCTCGTAAGCTTGTTCTTCACATGCTTGTTGCTCTCTTGGAGCTATTCTACTCTCTTTAGAGGCCGTGCGCTATCCTGTTTGCGTGCAAGTTCAGTGGCTGCGGGCCCGATTGTAACTTCTATAACGTCCATTATTTTTAAGAGAGTGTTAAAACCTTCATTAAAAACACATGCAGACGTATATGCGGCAATCTCAATTATTTTTCGGCCAGCAAAAATATGTTTGGGAACCAAATGCCACACACAAGCGTTAAAACTTTCGTTGTTGTTTGTTTTGCGTGTTGTTTCCTAAACATCGTTCCAAAAGGTTATCTGCTGATCGTAAATCGATTTTAACACTTCTTGAACATCGTCATCTAAAGAAGGTGGATGTGTGTAATTATTCAAAGTACCCGCAGCCTCGTGCTGCCGCCACTTACACCAGGAGTCAGCTCCAGCAGGACAGTACGAATGTTGCGGCTGCTCGTCGGTCGAAATTTTATGAAAAAAAGTTGCCCAAATTTCATTTTTCATATTTTCAATTGAATCTGGGTGACGGCGTATTGCTAAACCATAATATAATGACAAATCCTGCATCAATTTGTTCGTCAACTTTTTTAGGCTGTGAATTTTTTCTTGATGTTCTCTTTGTAGCTTTTGTTTAGTTTTTTTGTTTTTTTGTTTGAGTTAATAATTCTTTAGCAAACCGGCCGACAAAAGAGCTAGATGAGAGCAGACGCTTATAATGTCTGAAATACTTTGAATTTTTTCCTAAAAATTTAGGAAAACATTTTCGAAGGTGTATACTATCGAATAAAGCAAAAAAAAAATGTATTTTTTCCTGAGAAAGTAGGATGTTCCCTTAAATATTTCACGCTAAGGAATTCCTAGAAGTAAAAGATTTTATTTCATTTTTCCTCAATTTTTGAAAAAAATTAATATAGTAAAATCTATATATATAAGTGGACGTTGTGTAAAACATGTTAAACGATTAATCAACAAAATGGTGAAATGTGAAAATGCTGAAAGTTCTAGTAAAAAAAACATACATATTAGCCTGTCGTTTACTTTGTCAAATAACACTGATATTTTCCCTATAGATTTTACAATTCAATGAGCCATTTCTATATTTAGAAAAAGTATAGAGCTCATTACAGTATAGAAGAAATACATTAATGCATTATAGCTTTCTGAAAAGAAAAATCTGATTGAGCGCATTAGTTTAAATGAAAAATACTTATAGAAGAAATAAGTAATACGAGTTTCATATCTGCAATATCTAGTAGCTTATCAAATAATCTTCATATTTCTCAAGTATCAATTTTTTATGCTAATCTTATCTCAACTTCTCTAATAATTAATTCGTATGCATATCGCGATGCTTTCAGTATATAAATGAACGATAATGATTTAAAACTGCCAGTGCTTATTCATAGCCAACACGGTAAGTACAGAAGAAACCTTCATAAAACTCTGACAAATAATCGTCGAAAATCGTATTATTTAAATGAAATAGTGTTGACACAAAATTGTCGCTACTGTTACAACATTCATTAATGCTGATGTGATTAATGCTTATTATAGCACACTTTTCCTCTACATAACATTAATTCGTTACATGTCGATATGTTCGCAGATGAAGTTCACACTAGCGCTGTTTGCTGTCTTGGCCGTTATCGGCCTAAGCCAGACCCATAAACTCCCGAACTTTGGCAAAGGTCCTCTTCACGAGGATATCCAGGACATTCTAGACTTGGTTCCTATGGGAGAAATCGTGACTGTTACGCTAGATTACATGTCAAAAGATGCCCAATTCCAAGAAGTCATAGAGTTCCTCTCGACCTCGACAGTGCTTAAAGACTTGACGGTGGACGTCGAGGCTATTCCCGAAGTGATCAACCTTTTAAATTTCCTGCAGAAGGAAGGCGTCGATATCTACTTCGTGATAAATTCGATAAACAAAGCCTTCGGTATCAAAGAGCTAGTACCCCCCGCTTCTAATGTGTACTCCATGGTGCCCATGAAGAGGACCGGCGGAGTCGCAGGATACTTCAAAGACATCAAGAAATTCTTCAACTACGATAGTTTCATTCGAATCTACGTACAAAAGTTGGATACCTCCCCGGCTTTTGGTCGTTTCGTGCGGGAACTCAAGTCCAATAACTTCCAACAGGTCGTTAACAAGGTCTACTTGTCCAAGCCCTTCCAAATCATTGCGAACGGCTTCAAAAACTACGGAGTGAATTTGCAGATCATAGCTGACATTATGCGCATCGTTCTCGGCATTACCGTACCAAACACTCCGCAGCAATCTACCTTCGTTTTTGAACGCACACTGATCGAGGAGTTAGGAGATTTTATGAAGCTCATCCCGCTGGACAAGTTCGTGGACACAGCGATCGAATACTTTACCAAAGATCAAAAAGTACGGAGCGCCTTTGCCTACACGCTGACGTCTGAGTTCCATGAGCTGCTACGTGACGTGGAGACTCTAAAGGAACATCAAACGGTGGTAATATATCTAGAGAAGCAAGGCTTTCACGTAATCGAGGGTATTCAAGAGTTCCACAAGGTCATTGGTATGGATAAATACGTGCCGCCTAAGATACAGAACATACTTAAATCACAAATCGGAGTGCAAAAGGTAGGCGACGGAATGCGGGCGATGTTCGAAGATCTTGGGGCCCTGGTGCCTACGGAGAAGACGCAGGCACTTTACGACGAAAAGATGAAGACTCGTAACGCCTTCTCCGAGTTTGTGGAGAAAATTACATCTCCGGAGATAAAGAAGGACCTGTGCGATCTGTATGCTCAATCGGCCCACCAGAAGCTGCTCACTAACTGCATGGAACACGGACTGGATCTCAAGGCAATGTCGGAATTTTCCAGGAAGCTCATTCCAATTCCCATACCAACACCGTCAAAATGCGTAGCTTGAAAACTAGCAGCTTATTACGTTACGTCATTGCACGCCGAGATAATGAAACGATCAAACATAAATGTTGTTGGATTCAATCGATACATTGACAATATCTGATCATTTTCAAAACTGTCGTTTTGTTTCTTTTCAACTATAAAATAAATAAACTCGCTGTTTTATAACATATTCATGTGCACATTTTTTCTAGCTTAAGATTCTTCACTAGCACCTACGTGTTCTGTCAGTAATTTACATCGTTTCTAAATCAATACACAGAATTGCATTACACGAATAAACTTTTCAACCTCAACTTGTAAATGAGCGGACAAACACATGCAACAATCTCTGTAATACCATTGATGCGTGTTTTTTGAGCTAACCTAGTCAGAATGTCTCCAAATTATTATCATTTCGCTTGTACGCTGCTCTGATAATGTAATCGCATCGAAAAATGGCAAACAAGTGCTTTGCGTACTTTTTCGATAGCACATATAAAAGAACACACGTATACCTTATATTGATCTAGATTATTATATATTTCAAGATCAGAAAGGGACACTTCTCCGTATTTCCTTGTAAGACAATAACTTGACATTAATTGTTGATATCGATTATCGATTATCTTTCTTTTGAATACTCATACTCATCTAAAAGATGCTACGCTATCCCTCTCTGATTTGTGATATCTTTGATACCTTGATATCTTGATATCTTAAAAATAACGATAAAAAATAAATATCTTGTTCGTTAATTTGTTTACCGCACTCACAGATCGAAGATTTCTTAAAATCACACATTTTTGGTTTAAATATTTCACGGCAAGAAATTCCTAGAATTAAAAGATTTTATTTCATCTTTCCTCAATTTTCGAAAAAATTAATATAGCAATATCTATATACATGTATATAGATTTTATGTGTTGTAAAATATCGAACGATCATTCAACAAAATGGTGAAAAGTGAAAGTGGCAAAAGTTCTAGTAAAGAAACGTGCGAATTAGCCTGTCGTTTACTTTTGACAAATGACATTGACGTTTTCACTACAGATTTTACAATTCAGTGAATTATTTCTATATTGAAAACAAAGCATAGAGCTTACTGCAAAATGTATAGACAAATACATTGTAATGCAGCCAGACTTTCTGGGCAAAAATCTGATTGAACGCATTAGTTCAAATAAAAGATACGCATAAAAGAAACAAATAATACGAGCTTTTATATCTGTAATACCTAGTAGCTTATCAAATAATCTTTATATTGTTCAAGTGTTAATCTCTTGTGCTAATCTTATCAACTTTTACTAATCCGCGTTGATATTGCGGTGCTTTCATATATATATAATGTACGATAATAATTTACACCTGTCAGTGCTCATTCGTAGCCAACACAAGTACAGGAAGGTAAGTACAGAAGGAAAACTTCATAAAACTTTGATAAATAATCGTTAAGAATCGTCATTTAAATGGAATACGCAAAAGTGTTGACACAAAATTGGCCTTACGGTTTTTACTTGTGAATTCCTTGAATCGAATTTAGAATATCCCTTTCATCCTGATAAAAAAGTGTCTAATCAAGAATACTATTAGTACTCTATTTGTAATAATTATTCTATATCGAATTTCCAATATCTTTATTGTCAATTGTTAGTTCGGTATCTTGTTCGAACGAAAAGTGACAATTCGAATTTCTTTCTTTCAACATACAACATTCATGTACGTTGGTGTGCATATTGCAGCACACTTTGCTACATAATATTAATTTGTTATACGTCAATATGTTCGCAGATGAAACTCATACTAGCGCTGTTTGCCGCTTTGGCCATCATCGGCCTGGGCCAAACTTATAAACTTCCGGACCTCGGCGAAGATTCTCTTCATGAGGATGTCCAGAAGATTTTAGATTTGTACAGACAGAGCGTTTCCGGCATTGGCGTACCAAAGACTCCGCAGTCTAACTTCGTTTTTGAACGTTCACTGGAAGAAGAAATGTTAGATTTTATGAACCTTCTCCCAATGGAAGAGTTCCTACAGACACTGTTGGAATATATAACCAAAGATCAAAAAGTACAGGAAGCACTTGAGTACGTGTTTACGCCCGAGTTCCATGATCTATTACGTAGCGTGGAAGCTCTAAAGGAATTTCAAAATTTGGTAATATACCTAGAGAAGAGTGGTCTTCCCGTAATCGAGATTATCCAAAAGTTCCACGAAGCCATTGGTATGGAGAAATACGTGCCGCCTAAGATAGACGACACGTTCGAATCACAAATCGGAGTGCAAAAGGTAGGCGACGGAATGGGGGCGATGTTCAAAGATCTCGGGGACTTGGTGCCTACGAAGAAGACGCAGGCACTTTACGATGAAAAGATGAAGACTCGCAACGCCTTCTCCGACTTTGTGAAGGTAGTGACATCCGCGGAGATGGAGAAGCTCCTGTATAACCTGGCTACTCAACCGAATTACCAGAAGCTGGTCTCTACATGCTTAGAACACGGACTGGACTTCAAGGCAATGAGGGAATTTTCCAAGAAGCTCATTCCGATCCCCATACCAATACCATCAGAAGATTCGTAGTTTGAAAACTAGCAGCTTTTAACGTTACGTGCACGCCGAGACGATAAGACGATCAAACATAAATGTTGTTGGATTCAATCGGCAATATTGGCAATATCTGATCATTTCGAAAAATGTCGTTCTGTTTCTCTTTTCAGTTGCGATAAATAAACTCGCTGTGTTATAATATATTCGTGTGCCATTTTCTCCAGCGCAAGATCCTCCTCTATATTCCTAAATCGATACACGGAGTTGTACGTACTATATGAATGAATCGTTTAACTTCAGCTTGTAATTGAGCGGACAAACACGCAACAGCCCCCATAATACCGTTGACGCGTGTCTTTCGATCTAACCTGGTCAAAATGTCTCAAAATTGTCATCGTTTCGCTTACACGTCGCTCCAGTGATGTAACCGCAGCCCAAAATAATAGACAACATCCGGTTGCCCTTTTTCTCTCGGAGAGCAAAATATTCGTAAGTGATGTCGTCAGGAATTTAATCTCTAGAATTATCTGTAGTGATGCAACAGTTTTTATCTCGATCGCGCGGCCAATAATCGCACGTAAAAATGACCGCGAGGGTTTAATTTTCTAGTGATTTCGCGACAGATAATCTCGCGATAACGTTGTACGTATTGACGCAACCGTCAAATCGCGATAAAGTCCCGCAATGCGCGCGTGTGGTGTTATCAGTGAGTCACACACGCGCAGATAAATCGCGATAAAACTCGGTGAAGCGTAATCGATCATCGCATTCCTTGTTATTTCTTCCGTGCAATTTCTTCCAGATGAGAGAGTTCTCTTCTCCTCCACCCTCCACCGCCACCTTCTCCGATAATGAACGAGTCACTCATGATAATCGGTGCAATAGCCGCCATGTCACTGGTTCTTTGTAGCGTCGTAGCCTATCGCCTCAGCTCCTTAGCGGGCGATGTCGCGTTGCCGGATACCGTCCTGTCGAAGGACAATAGCTCGCTGGAGGAGGATTTTAAAGACATTCTACAGTTCATGCCTCTGGCCGCGATACAATCGATCGTCAACCATTATCTCAAGTGCGATCCGCAGATCGACAACACCGTGAGCTTCATCGAGGATCAGAAGAAGTATATCGCCCGAGAGTTCCAGCGAATGCCGCAACTGGCTCGTCTCGCGAGCTTCTTGAGGGAGAACGGCTTGGAGATCGATAATTGGTACGATAAAATTCAACATCTCTGGAGGACGAGGACCACTTTCGCTAATTCGGATCCGAGCGCCACCACAGGCGGCCTGAGCGTGATGATTCACAGGATCCTGAACACCGTGCCGCAGGATCAACTGCACAAACTGCTGCGGCGAAAAGTGAAATGTTCCGGTAGCTTCCGCAGATTTCTGCAAGCGCTCAGGTCCAAGGACTTTGTGGACCTGCGCGACAGCGCCGAGAAAAATATCGTGCTGCAGCAACACGTCTTCTGGGCGCGGCAAGAGTCTATCGAGATCACATTCGCCTTGGAGTTGCTCAACAACTTCTACGTCTACGTAACGGAAGAAATCGAATAATTCGACGGAAGGATATCTCCGAAAATCGCTGCGGATAAATCGCTGCGCTCGGGCGAAGCCTAAGCTTCCTCACGAGCGAAAGTGCGTATTTTCCGCTGGGCATGACGCGAGAATCGAATCGCCTGCGAAAAGCCACGGCTCCGGCTTGTCCGGATCGCCAAGATAACCGGCAGAAGAACTGGTACTTTCATCACCACGAACGCGGCAGACGAGTACTTTGCGCACTTTTCCGCCAGCGCGAGCTCGAGAAGAAAATGCGCTTCGGCTGGAACTGTCGGAAAGAACGTCGGCGGGCGTTCCGACGGAGCTCCTCTCGCGAGTATCGACGCGCGGAGCACGTGGATGGTAGAAATTAATTCCTCTCAAGATGTCGGCAAGCGCAGGAGCGCGATGGCGCCGCGTTGCTGGTGTGAGTCTCATGCTGAAGTCACGGCAGCAACGGCAGTCGGGAAGAGAGAGACAGAGAGACAGAGACAGAGACAGAGACAGAGAGAGAGAGAGAGAGAGAGAGAGAGAGACTCCGGCGACAAAGGAAGGCTCCGCTGCTGGAGGTACAGGATTCAGAACGGCGCGCGAGGACAAGCGGCTCGCGAGGAGCGGAGGGGGTGTCTGCAGCAAACAATTCCAATTAACTCGCTGGAATTGGAATAGGACTTGTCCTCGTCGGCCGGGCCGACGACGCTCGACTCGTGGATGCCACGGCGTCGAGGACGACGAGGACATGAGCATTCCTTCGCCCTCGTCCTGGCCCTCCTCGGCGCATCCTCATTTTTCTTCGTCAAATTTCGCTATATACGCCCGCAAATTGGTCGGCCGGCTTAACCCGGGCAAGGCTGAACCGGGCGAAGGAAAGCGCGACGTCCCGCCGGACAGAATCGCGGCGCTCTCGCGTTGAAAAATTGCGCTATTTTCCCGTTCGCGCGCGTTCGCTCGCTCGCTCGCTCGCTCGCGTTCGCTCGCCCTCGAATTGATCGTGGGGTGCTTTCAATTGCCGCTCGCGCAACCTTCATGATTGATCGAAGTCCGTAAAATTCTTTTCAGCCGACCCGTCGTCCGAAAGGCGTTATAAAGATATCCGCCAGGCAACGTTCCGCATTCTCCGGAGCTTCCTCGAGCGTATTTCGCAGGACGAGCGTGTTGTTTGGCCTCCTCGCTGCATCTCGCGTCGCTCGGCCAACACTGATCTGTCAGCGTATCGCAGTCGCCGCGCGATGCTCTGTACGTACGCCTTTCTATTTTCCCGCTGCCTTTGTTGCAGCAACAGGCGGGATTTCTTTCGCGCCCGCGCGCGCGCGCGCGCGTTTTCTTCGCGAGTATCGTAGCCAGCGAGCGAACGTTATCCGGCACATAATGCTTGTCATCGTCGTGATCGGTCGGGGCGGTTATAAAGCGCGACGAGAGAGCGGGAGTCCGCGACGTCGTCATCGCCGCCGCCGCCGTCCTAGACAATGCCGTTCCTGAGCTGCTCAGATATTGAAGACGCCCGAAAGCTGTGTGTACCAATCCCGATGTGTACACAACGTCTAGCCTGGCTCTCTACATTATTAAATCCCTACCCCGCTCGTGGACCAACCCCGTTGACGGGACAATAGCGTTCTTTAAGCGTCCGTCACGTCACGGTAACGTGTCGCGAATTACGAATCGGCCCGGTCGCGACGGATGAAATTGTCTCGCCAAATCCGCGACCCTGCGGCGACCCGAGTCGCATAGATACGTAGCGCGTGTGATGATTTATCATCGGTATCATCATTATCCGCAGAAACACAAACTTCCGATTTCAAGCTGGGTAATATGTGCGCGAAATTTTCTTTTCGATATTTTTTATCCGTTTACTTGCCGTGACTACTTGTCTCTCTCGTTGCTCTCAATTCCTTCGCGACTCTTTACCTCTTTCATCCGCTTTTCATATTCAATGGTAAAAAATGAAGAGAGAGAGAGAGAGAGAGAGAGAGAGAGAGAGAGAGAGAGAGAGAGAGAGAGGGAGAGAGATGCAAGGAATACAAAAATAATATCAGGTCGGTGAAAATGTTCGGTTCGACTTCGGAGTGAAATTGGATTTGAATGTGCATTCGACGCGAAAAAAGAATCATTCATCAATCAAGTGATCGTATCTATGATCCTTCGCCAATGTTTTGACAGCATTTGTCTCTCTTGTCAAGAGAGATCAGTTTCCGAGGAAACTGGAACGTCAAAGTACACAAACTTTTTCGGGTGACCCAATAAATATCCACGTCACACATACGCGCCGATCGATATCCGCGCATCTGCACGTGTACAATGCATCGCGAGATAACGGTCCTTTCGCGTTCGCACAGCCCGCTCCGCCTGGTCCGTTGCAGAGGCATATCGTGAAATCCTCACCGCGACGATATAAGCAATTATCTCCACCGCCTTGGTGTGTAATCCCAGTTCTACGAGGGAACGTTACTAACCGTGCGGCTGCCGCGAATCGACGAGTTTGCAGCCAACGACGGCCGTTTACGGAGGCGTAATTGGCCATCCGATGATCGCGCGGGCGTCATATAATCACCAGCTCGTAAGCCTCGAACGGCTTAATCCGTGAGGCGTCGCGTCATTACCCGCGTCGTCAGCATGGCGTCGTTGTCGTCGACGACGAGCGGTCGCGATCGTCGTCGTCGTCGTCGTCGTCGTCATCGTCGTCGGCGGCGGCGGCGGCGGCGGCGGCGGCGACGGCGCTGCTGAAACTCTCGGCCGAGGCGACGGAGAGACATTTAAAAGTAAGTATAGTTGGACAGATCCGCCTAGCGGGTTTAAAAGTCAAGTGCCAAGAGCGCAATTTATCCCATCCATTTGCTAGATGGGGAGGCCGGGGGAGGACCGTCGAGGAGAGTACGGCCACTACATGAAGCGCGAGGCGACGGTGGCAGGAGAGAAAGAAAGAGAGAGAGAGAGAGAGAGAGAGAAACAGTGAAAGGGGAGATGGGGAAGAGTGGAAGGCTCGAGCCTGCAGTCTCTCTTACGCCGCTTTTACCACGACTCGTTACGCCGACGCTACGACCACTTCATTGAATGACTCATTTTATTTTCCAGCATGAAAGGTATCATTTTTTCCCGCTCGAACTTCCCTCCTGCCGGGCCCGGTCCTCCGTATCCCGTCGGCCACTTCGCGATCCTTGAGGTGGGACGAGATTCGTCTCGCTCGCTCTCGTCTTTCCACGTTGCCGATCCTGTCGCCTCTGACCGGCCGACCGTTTACAATCGGAGAACCTCAAGCGCATAATGTACGAGTGCTTGTTTCGAACGTGAATATTTACGCGACTCGTTAGTTATCGTATGTCATCAAACGGTCTGGCCGACCGAATCCATCGCCCAAGCGACGCGAGCACGCTGGCAGACCTGGCGATGTCCTTCGAGCAAGTATAAGCAGGTGGCTCGAAATAACTCGACACGCTCCGAAGCTGAGGCTGAGGAGTCGGACGGGAAAAAGAGAGTCGACAGCCTCGTGACAGCTCGCTCTCGCCTATAGGGCTAATTAAGAGGCATTATGGGAAACGTACGCGCGTTTTGCAAGACAAAAGCCGTCAATTACCGCGCCGCGTCGATCGCGCGAGGATATTCCGATAGTCCCTGCCGTGCGCCGAGTATATCCAATATTGGAAGTTCCATAGCGCGCGCTATATCCGCCCACATGTAGGCGCACCATCTCCCGATACAGATATGTTTATTACCGGCGTAGACACCCCCGCCTCGGCTCACCATGACTTATCGGACGCGACTTGTTGCGCGTACACGTTCGACCGCGAAACAATTGTTTCCGGCCTTTCCCAGATTACGACGCTGCGTCGTAGCGATTAATAGCGCGATCGGTGCGCGACAAAGCAGCGCGAAACGCGAAACGCCGGCGTTCGCGAGGACGCGACGACGGACAGTGAATTTTGTTGTTGTTGTTCTTCTTCTTCTTCTTCTTCTTCTTCTTCCCCTTTACGACGATGCCGTTCGATTCGCCGCCCTCGTCGCCGCCGACGGGCGGGGATGCGCTCGTGAAATAAAACGGCTGCGAGGCTCATTAAACTCGCGAAAGATGCGCACTCGAACGAAGAGAAGGGCGGTGGGGGGAGGGCTACTTCAAAGTCCTGAAACGGCAGCGTACCGCTTCCTCCCTCCCTGCCGCCGCTCTCGTCGAGCCTTCTCGGGCGAGAGGCGCGCGTCAGCAATCGCACGGCTTGACGAGAGAGAGAGAGAGAGAGAGAGCGAGGCTTCAAGTACCGGATGCCTACTTTGAGAATACGTGTCTATTGTTTGCGAAACCTGCATTACAACGCTGCTCTCTCGCGACTGCAACTGGAACAATAATCTGCTGATTATAGATAGATCCCGATAGAGGGCGGACAAGTCGGCGGAAAGTCGAGGGACCTTAGGAATTGAATTCTAAAGCTCGCGAGCCACCAAGGAGAAGGACTCCGAGGACTCCAGTGAGCTCTAAATGCGGGGAGCTTAGACGCACACACCTCATTTCGATGATGTACGGATCTTCAGCGTAAAGTAACGAACGACTTCTACGGTCGCAAGCTAGTTATGGAGTCGAGTGAAAGGCGCGCGTATTATCGCTCGAGGCTGTTGCTTGTTTGTTACTTTTGACTCTACCGAGACTCTACGTAAACTTTTAACAAACGCGGACTGTCGTGGATAAGCAGCCCAGTGCTTAAAAAGTCATCCTGCAATTTTGGAAGGACCACCGGCTGCTTATTTCTCCGAGGGAACTCGCTGATGGTCTGAGAGCTCACTTTTTATCTATCTGTTACTTTCCTCACGTGTTCGCGGAGCTGGCTAAACGTGAGAGAAAAAGTCCATCGCGCGAGGCAGGTTTAACCGTCCGACACGTGTGCCGACTGACGAGCGCGGGGACACGTGAGGTAAGAAACAAGGTGGAAGAGCAGAAACGACGGGGAAAGAGGAGAAAACTCACGGGGGTGAGTTACGAGCGGGGGCGAGGCGGTACGCGAGCGGAGAAAGTACGAGTGCCGTTAGAATGCGAGAAG